CTGAAATGTTTTTGCGTTTACTGCGGTCGTGTTCAGTGGAAGCTGGAAGACATCAAGGGGAGTATAAGTTCAGTTTTTATATCAATGTGATATTGATTGACAAGGATGTTTTTTCCTTTCGGGGTTTTTATGTTTATTTTTTACTGGTTTGTTGTTTCTGTCTGATTTTTTTTCCATTTTCGGCATGAGGTTTGGTTATTTTTGTGCTTATGTTATGCTATCACGGTAAGAAAAGGGTCGATGAGCAATGGGTCGGCAAATGCCCGGTATTATCGGTTCTTTGAAGGTTAGATAAAACAACGAAACTTGGACTGCTGGTAGAAATAGGCTTGGTGTGTTTTTTTTCCGATTTTGGGAGATTGAGTGTAGGTATTTGCTAGGTGTAACATAGCTGTAACTGTTTTTTTTTTTGTTCTTCCCTGGAACGGAGCGCCGGACTTTGCCATTCTACACTCCGTGTGAGTGAAATCAGCTCATGCTTTCTCGGTGTAGCAGCTCAGAGTGCACGGCCTGGCCGGCGTAGGGTTTGGTGGCCACGTGGTGTTGGCCGGTGGTTGTGCAGAGAGTTGGTAGAATTGCCGTTTTGTGGTGCCTGGTGTTGAACTGTGGTTCCCATACAGGTGAACGGTTACTGGCGTAAGGTGTGCCAGGTGGGCGTACCCCGTGGAGAATGAGCTGCTGGTGATGTTGGCTCTGTCCGAGCGTGTCCGAGCGGGGTTTTCATTAGTGGGTTAGGGATTGTTGATAACAAGGGTACCAACTGCCGGGTGAGACTTGAGAGGGTAAATGGAGTTCATTGTAAGGATAACCAATGCAATGGTATTGGTCTAAGATGGTATTGTTATCTGGTGTTCATAGGTTGGAATGAAAGGTTTAGTGGGTGATACAGAGGTACAGAGGTGATACAGTGGAACCCAGTTTGGGTGTGATAAGTCTCGGCGGACTAGGATATTATGGATTAGATGGGGCATTATGTAAGGTGGTTTTGGGATGCATTAGCGATAGCCTAGTAGGTTACAGGCTATTACCCAGAGGAAGTTTTCACAACCATGGTTAAAGGCTGCAGTAGGTATGCCATTTTCTAGGATGCAGTTTTAGGATAGCCCGTGATTGTGTAGCTCTCACTCTGCATTGAGGTACGAGTTAACTGTGTTTCGTTTTTTATGGTAGTGGCGTTTGTAAATCGTTTTTTTTTTTTTGCCAGAGTGAGGTGCCTTTCTTGTCGTTGGTCAATAGAGCATTGCCAAGGCATGTTAAGCGACATCTGCAATATGCATACCTATCCTGCCGATATGTCATCACACGCATTGTCAGATAAATGGCTCCAGTATACTCGTCTATAGCCCCTTTTGATACGAGATTTCGACTGAAAATGGTTAAGTGACACAATGTTTTTTTCTTCCATGGCTTGGTGGTTGGCATCCGACTCTGAACGGCGACGGATCGGCACACTCGGCGGGGCCGGCCCGCTTTGCCAGAGTCTTCTTCGGCCGCTGGAGGATTCCTTCACAGCTCCCACGTCAGCTGAGGGAGTTCCGACCCCTCCCAGCTCATCTTGCTCCAGTGGTGCTGCCTAGCAGGTCTTACGGGACATCGTCAGGTATAGGCCAAGGTGGCCGGGGTTTTGAAAGGTACGTTATTCCATGTACGGGGCCCGGTACATATCTGTTAATGGAGGTTCTAGGGGACCCGATAGGGTGGATAGAGAACGCTTGGACATGGGCGATATCGGTATTTTTGAGGGGATATTGGGTTCCACCTGTAGGGACATGAGGGCAATGCTGGTGGAAAATAAGATAGGTAATAAGATAGTAATAAAATTGTGATAAAATCGTTAGGCGAAGCCCGAAGATAAAAAATGAAATCTAGTCAACTCTAACGTTAGACGTGTTTTCAACCTTGGTTTGCTGCTGCTGCTGAGGGTTTTTAAATCGTCTGTAACTATCTTCAAAGCGGTCTATTTCTTAGCAAATTATTTCTACTTGTCGCTATAGAATATGATATGACCTTTCTCCTGCAAAACAGCGAATGAACATTGAACAATACAGGTCAGGTACTATCATTAATAGAGCTATTAATTTTTAGCTCTAAAATGAAGTAAGTCAGTATGCGTTGTTAGGACTGGGAGTTCCCCTCAGTGTCCTAAAATTGTATTTTGGCTTGGGTGTCAAAGGAAAATTCCTAGGGGCCCGGGAACGATTTTCAAGGTGGGGGTGGGGGGGGGGGCATATAAAATGTCTGACATGATGCATATGAAACGGTGGCGTAGCTAGGAGTCTAAGGAGACACGTACCCCCCCCCCCCCCTATCGGGATAAAAGGGAGCCTCGGGTCCGAGGGGCCCTGCGGCGCCATTTGGCCACTGGGGGTTAACAATGGCCATATAGAAGGGCCCCATGGGGCTCACTAGAGCACCTCATGGACCCTAAATTGCCACATTAAGATCTCTTTAAGGGCCCCACGCCGGATTCTGAGGGCCTCTTGGGCCTTTTAAGGGCCCTTCAGTAATCTCCAAAGGCCCCTCACTGGCCTCTGAAAGTTCTTACCGGCCTATGAGGGCCCAGTTCTAGGGGCATTTCCCGCCTGTGATGGTCCCACAATTATTTTTCTGAGAGCCCTATAACGGCAACTGTGGGGGCCCTCGTCGGCGCCTATGAGGGCCCACACCGGTGTCTCTGAGGGTTTCACAACCCCAACTCTGAGTGCCTACACTAGTGCCTATTAATGCCCTATATCGGCGACTGAGAGTGAGGACCCGAATCCCTACCCAACACCGGCGCATCTAAAGGCCACCCACTGGTGACTTCTGAGGGCCCCACACCGGTCCGTTGACTCTCAGGGCCCCACCGGCGTCTGATAGTACCATGCCGGTCTCTAGGGACCCCACAGAACTTCTTCTGCTGGCCTAAGGGCCTCTTGCCGGTCACTGAGATCCGCCTGCCGGCTTGTAGAGGGTTCGCGTCCGCAGCTCAGGCCCCACACCCGTCTGTAACGGCTCCACACCAGCGTCTATGAGGGCCCACAGCAACGCCTGTAAGGACCCTCACCGGCGCCTCTGAGAGAATCACACTAGCACCTCTTAGCGCCCACACCGGCACCTGCATGACATTCCCACACCAGTGCCTCTAAAGGCCCCTTACCGGCGGCTCTGAGGGCCCTACGCCGGTGATTCTGAGGATGCTAACGATAACCGAAGGCACCATACAAGCGCTTAGTGTCGCTGAGCTTTTAATCCCATACCGGCCTTCCAAGGGCGCCACGTCAGTGCACTCATTGCCCCACACCCCTCCCTTACACCCGGAGCGGGTAAACTGTGCAACCTATAGCAACGATTTTACCACAGTTGTACGTTAGGCATTTCTCAAGGTTGACTCAAAATGGCCCAGTGTAAAAGCTGGCCTGCCAAACTTATGGCCGAGGCCAGGCCCAAACAAAAGCGGGATGACAACGGCAGATGTCAAATCGATACTGTAACAGCAGAAACCATTCAGATGGCAAGGAAAATGCCGTGTGTTTATGTTTAGATGTATCAAGGAAACAAGAAGTCCGGAAAAGGGAGGAAAGATCCTTTCTCGCTGCCTCAATGTTGAGGGGGCGCCGCACTCTCGGCTCTCAGGTTGGGGGGGGGGGGGGCAAGCGCCCCCGCTGTCCCCTGTTTCCTGGGTCTATGAAAATTACTCACCAAATAAGGGATAAGGGTGGAAAATTGATGGTCAGCTAAGGCCTAAAAAGAGTGGAAAAAGAATGTACAGCAAAATGTAATACAAGCCTGGTATGTGGGAAGTAAAATGGCTATCGATCCATGCAAATGCTTTTTCTTGGTAAAATTGGGAGTGGATAATAGGCTTAAAGTGGAGGCGAGTGAAAAATGATTTTCATTTGGATGTCGTTTCCCACCTAAATCAACAAATTTTGGGGCACTGGTACGGGGTACCCCTCGCCAGCATCAGGGTTGACGTCACTCAGGACCTGCCTGTGGTTGGTTGGTGGGTGAGTTACTGTACCTTCTATGGGTGACATTGAGCCAGCTCGGCGTTTGGAGGCAGTAAACACCTCCAAAACGTGTCGAGCTAGGAAGCAACGGCAACCTTTATACCCATATTGGCCTGTTTACAGCGTAGGGGCTGTCTGTATGCCGGTCATTTGGTCCCTGATCAATCCGGATCTTCGCGGAAAGGCAAGCTTGTTGCCCGTGGCGGGTGATGCGGATACTATCAGATTTCAAAAATGGGTATTTTTGGTATTCAGGTCGGGTAATTGCCCTGAACATTCGGAGAATCTTGGGATACACAATCCTGCAAGTCCCGGGTGAAGCTCGCTAGTCTGCCCGGGGGTGTCCCCCTCTTCAACGACCCCGTGGCAGCTCGCTAGTCTGCCCGGGGGGTGTCCCTTCTACAACGACCCCGGGGCAGCTCACTAGTCTGCTCGGCGTGTCCCCTTCTACAACGACCCCCGGGGCAGCTCGCTAGTCTGCCCGGGGGGTGTCCCCTTCTACAACGACCCCGGGGCAGCTCGCTAGTCTGCCCGGGGGTGTCCTCTCCTACAATGGCCTCGGGGCAGCTAGCTAGTCTGCCCGGGGTGCCCCCTTCTACAACGGCCTCGGGGCAGCTCGCTAGTCTGCCCCAGAGTGTCCCCTTCTACTCGACCCAGCGGGGCAGCTCGCTAGTCTGCCCGGGGGTGTCCCCTTCTACAACGGCCTCGGGGCAGCTGTCTAGTCTGCCGAGGATGTACTTTTCTACAACGGCCTCGGGGCGACTTGCTTGTCTGCTTGGAGGTGGCTGCCGCCAGGACGCCGGTATAGCGCAGGCGTCATTCCGGAGGCTTAGAATGCTGATGCCGGCGCGCGCTGAGAGCTCTCCCCTTTTTGCTGGTCGGCTATCTATGACCTGATTACCTATAGTCTCGTGGTCACTGTTTTAAACCCTTGCAAAGTTTTAGGTAACTCATTCATGGTCGTTATCATTGCCACGTGTAGCACAGGGGCTAAGGTACACGTAACAGTAGCTGCGGCCTCTGTTTTCAGTTGCCTAACAACCAATGGGTTCCATGTTTTTTTTTTTTTTTTAAAGGACGGCGCTAAAATAATAACAATAATAATAACAATAATAATAATAACAACAATCATAGACCACTATATATCTGGACTGTGCACGGAAATTAGGGCCCTGCCATTAGGGCCCTAACTTTCGAAGGTCGTCACAGCCAACTTATTCGCCATATGATGATGTGCTTTGGGAAACATCACCACTAGTCAATTTGTAATCTGAGTTATATCTTACATTGAGCAAAAAATATATAATATTAGCGCAATCATCGAAAAAAGAAGGGCATTTTCTGCCCATTTCTTCCATGATTTAACATGGTGTGGATGATGGTTCCCAGCTAATTTTCACGAGAATTAGCAAATTTTCACAGACATGTAGCGAAGATTTTTGCAAGATTATTGTTGTTTGTTGTTTATCATTGACATGCGGGATAGTTCTCTTTTGTCTTTAAATAAAATGAAACCTTTTAATGCATACATGCCACTGAAATACAGTAAAATGTGCCGCTAGTGATAATCACTTCAGAATATCCTATGAACAGAACAGGGAGTGAGCATATTCAAAGAGCCAAGACAGTGCATGCAACAATGTCAGTTTTCCGGTTCCTGGCTAAGGCATCAATATGAAGTCAATTTCTATATGCCCTAAAGCTGAAAATGTCTTGGAATTCTGACCACTGGGCTCCCTGTGAGTTTTATTACATGCTGTGACGCTGGCCGAGACCGAAAAATTGAGCAGAAGACAACTGTAAGGAGAGGTGGCGGATCCGTTTCCAGACTGGCGGCTCCTATAATATCAGTCACAAGTGAAGCCCAAAACTAGCTAAAGTCTTGCAATTTGGTCAAGTGATGGTCACATATGTTATGGCTTGCGGAGAGCTGGCGTGCCCACATCAGCAATCTGTGTTCTGCTCCTGCATGCAAGCAATGGGTCCTGCTCTGGTAACAGCTGCCGAGTCGCTCTCTCTTCGGCACACGTATAGCTTCAAACGTGTGTTTCAAGACAGCGCGACTACCATTGTAAAGGAAAACGATAACTTTCTTCACATTGCTCGCTGAGGGAGTCACACTGTCGAGAAGCACCTCAAGTTACAACGCTACGACCTGCATTCCTTCAACACATTGATGTGTATAGTTGAGCGAAAAACAAACATTGCAATTCATGGAGTCAATATGGACAGTATACCGTCACTCAACACCAGCGATGCGCGAACAGAGCTTCATGAAATAAGAAAGCTTCATGAAAATGAGAAAGGTTGAGCCGCAGGACGTAAACACAATGCAACATTCCTGGGATCAGTTTGTCTATGCAATCAATAACTACGATCCTATTCGTCGATGTGTAAGATACCTACATGGCTGAGAATTTCAGATGTGGATTTACAATTCGAATAGTAACTAAAGGCAAATGTAGCACAAGAACTATAAGAAAGTGCATTCCTAAGTGCGAAGCTCTGCTGCAGTGTCCAGTGAACCGAGATCTCGTGACTCCGTCTAAATCTCGAATCTCCATCGCCATCACCCGCTGCAAAATGCGGCCACCGTCACTGACAACGGTGTTCAAAAGTCCCCTTCTCTCGAGAGGGACAGATGACAGAACCCGTCTGTCCCTATGCTGAGCATGAAATCGGCCTCAGTGGAAGCAGGGAACAGTTGTGGCCCAGCAGGTCACCTCGGACGGTCTCGCTAAAAACGCAGCACCGGCAGCTTTGTTATTTACCCATAGGAATCTTCGTAATTCCGTGGCGCAGATCGTGTGGGCTTTCAAAGCATTGAGCCGGGTGCGTGTCTGATTTAGACAGGCAAATTAATCTGCAGTGTATCCAATATGTCATCAGACTGTCTCTTGTCAAAAACGACCGATCACGGATTGTTCCTGTCTATTGATGCTTTGAACTTAATACAGTGTACATGAACTACAGTGTACATGTACAACTTAATACAGTGTACATGAACTACAGTGAACTTAATACATGATGCTTTGAACTTAATACAGTGTATACCTGTCTATAAGTGCTTTTATTTATTTATCGTGTTAAAAATCATGCTATAAATTATACATTTATTAAAATATACATCACATTTAAGAAGTTACTTTCATTTAAATGGGCTTACTAGAGCGTCAATACACAATTCCGCGTGCTACGTCGAATTTCCCAGCAGGGCCCTAATAGCAGTCGGCAAAATCCGTGCACAGTCCAGATATATAGTGGTCTATGCAACAATAATAACAATAATAATTAACAATAACAATAACAATAATAAAAGAAAAAAGCAGCTCGCTAGTCTGCTCGGGGAAGCGTTTCTCATGGCCTCGGGTGTTGCCCGGGATGCTCCATTCTTCCACCTTCTACAACGGACACGGGGCGGCTCGCTAGTCTACCCGTAGGTGGCTGCCGCTAGGACGCCCGGTAGCGCGGGTGTCCTTACGGCGGCTAAGAGCGCTGATTCCTGGAGCGAGCTGAGAGCCCTCCCCTTTTTTGCTGGGCGTCTGTCAACGACCTTCGTTGATACTGTTCTAACCCCTTCCAAAGTTCTGGGAAAATAAATGGTCGCGCTGATAGGCATGTGCATAGGGTTCAAGGTAAAGGAGAATACAGCTTCTGTTGTCAGATGCCTCATAACTCATGGATGGCTATTTTTTCGGCGGGTATATCGAGGGCCTTTAGTTGGTGGAGGCTATCATCGCAGTAGTGGCTAATGCTACTGGTTCTTAGTCCTGCTGTAAGGGCTTCGGTATAAATGCCGTAATATTGTTCTTCATTGGTGACCGCTGTATCGCTCACATTCATGTTGGCAGGTTTTAGGGATCGTGGCGTTTCTGGTAAGCTTCGGGACAGGTTGAGGAAATAATTATCTACCTTCAACCAAGCACGTATTTGGGTGGGTTCCGCCACTGGTCTCGACACTGGCGGCGACTATAGGTCTTTTGTGTTAATTTGTATCCCCCATTCGGTCTGCTGGTCTCGGGAAGGGGGTGTTTTATTTTGGCGCATTGGTGTCTGGGTGGATGTATTGAATGGGTGGGGACACCATTGCGCCGCGCGGGGAGAGGGGTGGCGGCCCGTTGGCAGGGTAGTCTCGGTTGAGACATGTATACTTGCTAATATGTTTGTGTCGTGTTCATTTGGGCTGAATATACCAATAGCCCCTTTTTGTACAGCTACAGTGTTTTCCTGGAGGGACTTGGTTGTGAGGTTTGCGCTGAGATTGGTTACGCATAGCATAGCTAATTGTCTCTATGTTTGCTGGCAGCTCGAAGGGGAAGCGGAAAATAAAATTGCCTATCAACCCAATTTAGATATGGAAAGGAAATAAAAAAGTTTACCAAAATGAGGACAGGGCCCTTAACCCCTACCTCAGAAGAAAAGACAAGGGAAAATAATATTAAACTATGCAGAAAACTCAGCGCCGCTTTCGTCTCAAATTCGTCCTCCGCCAAGGCACGTCCGCTCTCCACGCGCCCCACGAGCGAAGTGATGAGCAGTATGGCTAATACTGCTGTTCTTACGATTTGACATCCTCTTAGTGTCGAAAGTTTGAATCATATGATAATTTTTTTTTTTGTCCAAAATAAAAAATGCCGGCATGCTACCGGCAAGACATGCCAGATACCACGAAAAAACGTGCGGTAGTGAAAAATTACCGGCATGCCGGTAGTGCGGTAGGGAAACTTTGCAACTCTACCCTGCATGCGAGCGCGTTGGTTGTTGGCCTGTGTGAGGGACTGACCGCAGCGAGGGCGTCACGCCGCCGCGGTAGACAGCCACGCGCATCTCCTTGGGCAGCACCAGTCGTCCAACCGTGTCCAAGTAGTTGTGAAACTCTGCATCCGTCAGCGGCGGCGCTGCCAGCGACGCCGTCGGGCGCTCGTCGCTCATGTTGAGAGCCCGCGACATCAGACTGAAGGTGTTCTGCACCTGTCGACAGAGCCAGGCCGCAAGCAAATAAGCGGGGCCGGTTGATGGCCAGTTACAGAGGTAACAGAATGGGTGACTTACATAGTCCGTGGTTGGATTGTGCCCCCACTTTTGTGATAGCTGAACTGTCTGAGAAAGTGAATGAAACTACCTCATTATCATGGATGATATAACACTGGATTGGTGTCTCGTGGAAATTAACATTGGGATCCGCGACATTGGGATCAGGCCTGCCATCTAGCGAGAGAATTATCGTAAGTTAGGAGCAAGCCGAGTGAACGCCATCTCTCAGCATTATGACACACGTGGGTGTGGTGGGTTAGTTGGCTTGAATTGCATATTCCCACGAGTTGGAGGTAATCTTACTGGACCTGAGACGACAAAAAATGTATTAAATGCTTGAAAGCCAAAAACGTCAAGCAGCCTTTAGGTAATAACGAAAATAAAATGCGTAAGACGGTGTGTATTGAAACGCCCAGTCCCATCGGCTTGTACGACCTTTTATATGGTCATTTACTCACAATGGTACAGCAGTTTGACAATATGTCATACATATTTGGTAGGCTTATTCTTCTTCTCCGAATTTCGCCCAATTTTCTTCATCTTAGTTAATGTTACAGCACGTGCCACGTGCCAACTTAGGGGTGTCGAAATTGTTCCACATAAAGTAACTCCGCAATGGCTGGGCCCATGACAGTAAAACTTCGTCAATAGTTAGTCACCCAGTGGCCAATGCATTTCCTTGTGTCACTATGGGGGTGCTACTGCACGTGCGCACGTGCGGGATGCCGCTTCCATATCTCAAGAACGGCTGGGCGGATAACACTCAAACTTGGTACACAAATGTCACATCGATGCTCGCACTGCATTGATCAGTGCTTACATTGGTGCAGAGTCATTAGGAAAACGATGAAATGAGATGCGTGGTGTTGATGCCTTTCTGTTCCAGCAACTGATTGATCCGCAACAGGAGATCCCAGGGGGGCGACACGGCTATTCGCGCAATGTATTCAGTTCTGGGCCGCGCGGGGCCTCGCGATGACGCGGCTGGAGGCAACTGCTCAGCGCGCTGGGATACTTCTGGCGGGGCCGGGCGCTGAACGGTGTGCAATGAATGGGTTATGGGCGGGAAGACATAGATGAGGTATTAAATTTGAATTGACATCAGCAATCGGGTGGGGAGGGAGAACGTGTCTAATCGAGCTTGGGATGGGGAAAGCCGAAAATGTCACGATCGGCTCATAGCTCCGACAGGGCCGGTTGCCGTACCATGTGTAGTATATTTAGGCGGGCAGACGGAGATGAGTTATTGGATTTGACTTCACCTTACCATCGGTTTCTGGTGGTGTTTGAAGACGTTTTTAGTAAAGCTCGGGGTGGGGCAGCCCACTGGCGGATCCAGGGGAAGGCATTTAGGGCAAATATGTCTTCCCCCACAACCAGGGCAGCGCCCGAAATCGCTTTTCGAGAATAAAAGAAAGCTTCACAACTTTTCTGAGGAAATGTTGGTTAATCACACTGCGTACAGCAGTGCGCAAGGAATCGAAATCCGAGCTTTTTTAAAATTAATTCGGAGAAACCTTTTTGGGGTAACCCCCGCGGTGTCCAAGACGGCTTCATGGATCCGCCAGTTGTGAATAAGTCACAGTCGATACCGAGCTTCGGCGGGACCAGGCGCTGTAGGTATACGTTGTATACCTACAATGAAGAGGCGGACAGACACCTGACCCCACATCCTACTGCATATACCCGTGCTTCTGTGGGTGAAGCACTGAAGCATCACGGAACCCCACAGGACCTGCGAGTCGACGAGGTGGCCGCTTTAGCCGCCGCGTACTGCAGCTCCGTGGGGTGGCCTGGGACCGATGGTAAAACAACAGCTCCGGCGGTGCCCACCCCTATGGGCCGTAGTAATTAGTGAATTCCCGTAATGTAGAGATCATATCCTCAATGATCTCCATTACGATTTTATATTCCTTAACAATATGGCAGACCAATTATGCTTGCCAGGCCATTACCTCTGATGTTTATACGCCCAGTATAACATGTGTTGTCTGTCAAACAACAATCGACGACGGAATCCCATCATCTGAAACCATCGGCTGTCAATTCACCCACCCCGTTTCCCTAAAAATAGACGATCAGATTCGGCCTGGGTCCTTACGACCCCTTTAGATTCGCCAGAGACGGAATCGGGTCGCCGTTATTGCACTCGTCTTAGTGTCTTTAGATGCATAGACAGCTTCGACCACGGACGTCGGACGGGGTGATCGTTCTACGAATGTACGCACCATCCAGGCCTAGGATGCATCGAGGTTTATCAGAATGCAGTCTGTATATCAATCAACATAACAATGGTGGTATGCAACCACATTAAAAATATCTCCCCGGCTCCCGCAACGTTCCAACGCCCCTCCGTTATGCATTCGCCCGATGTGTCCGCCGAGCCGGCTTGCCTCCAATGACGTCATCGGCCGGCCGGCGGCGTTCAAGGTCAAACGGCTGGTGTCCTTACCTGGAGTTCTATAGCCTTGGGAGATCCCTGTCTGTGAAGGCTTCCTCTCCCTTTTCCATTCCTTGTTTAAAATGACAAAACAATGTACGAAGAAGATCACACATTAAAATTGTTTTAGGCGGCTATCTTGGGCCACGGCTGCGGAGTTGTAGTCAGAGCCAGCGGTTCTGTTCCGACTTGGAGTTGGTTGATTTTTAAAAGCTGTAGTCGCCAGTCGGAGTGTGACTCGAACGTCACCGAAAAGTCATCGACTCCACAGACTTACCAGGGCTGCAGAGTCGGAGTCAGAGTCGGAGTCTGTGTGAATCGACACTCGACAGTTCTGCACGGAGGAGTCGGAGTCGATATTTGAATACCGGAATCGGAGTTGGAGCCAAAGTCACTGAAATTTCATCGACTACGCAGCGCTGGTTGGGTCCTTTTCATAGAGCGTCTTGAATGACATATTGAGCGGTAATGACGTTAGCAATTCCGTTTAACTTTTTCATTAGACTTATAGATAGTACTTACGTTCGTTTTGTTCTTTGATAGGACAATTTGTTTGATTTAGGCCAAGTAAAGACTCTTGTGAAAAATAGCGAAAACGACACGTGCTGGCGAAGTCTCCAATAACTCCCAGTTTCACGATTTAATGAGGAAATACATGGAACTGCTTATCTTATTACTGACCCTGCACATAAATCTATTAATTTCTTCACTTTTACTGACATATAAAGACATAACCTTTGGAAAAATTGCACAACAAGCCTGCTACTACACCACACTCCCGTGTGTCACAATGCTTATCAGCGGCGTTCACTCGGCTTGCTCCTAACTTACGACAATTCTCCCGCTAGATGGCAGGCCTGAGCTCAATGTCGCCAAAAACTGCGAAAACACCAATCCATTATTATCTCATCCATGTCATTATTATGCCATTTAAAACAGGGGCGCCGCTGACCTGATGAAAGTAGGTAGGACTAGGCACTAGGTAGGTTAGAAAGAAATACCGAACACTAAATATTGCAAAGCCACGATAGGTAGCAGATTTGGCATCACCACCAATTTCTAGAGGATGGTCACAAATTCTTATCCATTATATGATCCACTATCCAGGGGCCAATCTCACCAAGTGCGGTAAACTCGTTTGGGGTAGCCGCAAGTTACCGCACCGAAATAACCAGGGTTTGGTGTTTTAGTATCATATGACCTTTCCTCGTAAAATATAAATTAGCAAAAAGGATATATTGATATTGATATTTCGATCACAGATCTTCGTCGGAATTGTTAACAAAAGACAGAATAAGAATACATTTCTTGTCTGCTCCTTTCTTTATCTCCTACTTCACTATTCGTTATCACGAGAAATTAAATCTAAAGTACATCCATTTTTCAAATCATGATAACTTTTAGTCGACATACGAATACACGTAACTGAAATTTGTTAAGCCTAATTAACCCGCGCCCCACTGGGGGGGGGGGCTATTTATAGCCCCCCTCCCTTTTTTCTGCAATAACTTCCAAACCGCTTGACGTATCGACGCCAAACTTTTAGTACCTTCGGCTGCATCAATTTGACACCTTGTGTCAAAATTTTAACTTCGTAGCTACCATAGGTCGTCCGGAAATGATGTCAGAGTGACGTCATGTTCGGCCGATTTCGACGCAAAACATTGAACCACGGCAATCGCTCCCAAGAGCTCAGTTTGTAAGCTAGATCCAATTTCTTTGCATGAGAGGACTCAGAATAGACTGCGCTATCAAACTGCTATCTCGGATTTTCGAAATTTTGAAAATTTCGAAAATTTGATATAATAAAATCCAAAATTTATATTTTTACATTTTTTTCAAAAAGTCTTTGACTTTTCGAAAAAAAAAAACGGAAAATATGTGATAGAACGCATTATTATGACTAACTCTAGCAAGTTTTAGCTAAATATCTTCATATAACTCACTTGACGTCATTGCACTGGCAAGTGAGTTGCTAGAACTGTGACCTCGTCAGAACCATTTTGCAGGTTGTTAAAAGGACAGGCAAGTCCCTTGGCTGCGGTGACTATGCAACCTGCCCTGATCATGTAAACGGCATTGTGACTAGTTCAGCCACGAACACATTCCGCATTTTCCTAGAAAGAACTATCGGCACGCTCGGTGCCGCGGAGGGTATGCCAACCTAACAGACCCGCACTGCCCAGCGCTCCGCTAGCCCGGAGGCGGTTGGCGAGGCTGACCCCACTGACCTCGCTCCGCGACCAGACTCTCGGTCACTCACGCCACAACCGAGAGGCGCCAGCCTCGACGCAGGGGCATCTGGCGCCATTCATGCTGCCTCCGAACACGGTGATTGGTTTGCTGCAGAGTCACGTGGTTGGGGCATCAGTGGCGTAATCAGGAATTTAGTTACCAATCTCACCAACAGATGGCTCTGACCGACGATTTTTAAATACGGAGTGATCTAAAGGTAGGTGACATAATACGAGCTTACAGCTGCAATGATGATGGCACA